CTTAACCTGCTCAAGTAACTGTTTAGCATGTTATTCTCTGCTGTACTTCGGTGCTTTCTTCTTTCAATTCAGCATACTCTTACTTTAATCTTGTATTTTTCTCAGTCAGCTCAATAATGGTTATCTCTTTGGTCCTTTCTCTCACACATAATCTTTTATGCTCTTGGTGTAGCTTTACTAGATCTTCAATAGCTGTATCATGTTCTCTAGCAATCTTGTGAACTTTAACTTTATGACTTTCGGCTTTATCTTTCCAATAGGCTTTTTTTTCTTGAAGCTTCTGGATTTCTTGCTTTAACTTACCCTTTTCAGACTCAAATTCTTTTGTTGCAAGCTCTAATTCTGATGGTATCTCTTCAAGTTTTTCTTCTGTTGGTGGTTGAGAGATTTCATAAGTGAATACCATTTCTTGTCTTCTTTTTATTCTTCAAACCAAGTACCCTAAGGTGACTTTATCAGTGAACGGTCTAGGACTCACTCTTCGAGAATTTTTCCATGCTTTAATCATCTCATTCATCCTCTGAAATACTTTTGGCTCACTGTAAGAGAAATCTAACTGATGAAGCCCATAAGTCATAGGAATGAACTGTTTTCCCCTAAATTGCCTTATCACTATGAGTGGTGCATAATTTATCTCTTCTCATAAACCCAGAAGTGAGACCACTGTACTATCCTTACATTGGTACAACATAGACTCATGATTCATCCATGGGGCCAACCATCTCACTTTGGCACTTTTCAACTTTTGTAGAAAAGTTATCCATTCTTATTTAGACTTTCGTTTTGACCACCCACTTTCATAGAATTCTTTAATCAGAGTTCGATTACGGATATAAAACTTTGAGAAAGCACCATTTTCCTGTTTAAAATGGCTTTTCATCCATAAGTACAATAATTGTATGCAACTTATGAAGCGCCTTCCATTCCGAAGATAATAACTCAAAGATCTGATAGTCTCTACTAATATTACCATTGAAAGATTACAGCCATTGATCACACTTTCGAAGAAGTCAACCACCGCTATCTCAATATATCTCAAAACCTTTGGAAAGATCACCAGTCTGTATACAGTTAAGGCAAATATATCTAACCCCCATTTTTCATTGGCATGTTACATCAGAAACTTATGAAAGAACTTCTAAGGTAGGCAAACCTGTTCTTGTTTCTTCTTTGTATGAGAATCTACAATTTCTTTGTCTATCCTTCTAAGTTGAACCAGACCTTTACAAAATTCTGACTTATATTTTTTGACATATATCTTGTCAGGAGCCTTGAGGTGCAAACCCAACAAGATCGAATATTCTTCGGTGGTGAGAGTCATATCAATTTCATTAAAGATGAAACACTTGTATGCAGGATCCCAGAATTATGCTGCAGCTCTGATTAGTTGATCATCAATAACTACTGCTAGAAAGTATGCTATATGCCTGTGTCTCTGATAAAACTGCTCTTGTCTTAACAGACTCATCTTCTTCCAACTATCAACCAAATCTTTTAGATTGTTCTGTTTGAAGAGGATAGATATTTTTTGAGATAGAGTAGAATCATACCCGATTGGCAAGCAATCTCTCATCTTCAGTTGAATCTTTTCTGACTGGGCCCTTACTTCGTTGGGTGTCCCACAAGGTGCTAATACGGATGAAGAACAAACTAGTTGTTCAGTGGAGTCCATGAAAAATTTTGTTAAAGTTCATTTTTCAAGCAAATGTTCTTTATGCAACTTTATGATATGCGTATGAACCAATGCAAAAGAATAAGAAAAAGGTTAGTATACCCAAAAAAAGAATAAATAAATAACTAAGTAAATTTAAACATCATACAGAGTAAAAGGAATGAATCCAATGCTTTTGGTCAATTCTAAAAGGGAAGAGTGATGACTCTATCTATAGGTTAGACACACTTAAGGTTCACTATATGCGGTTTTAAGGTCAAAGTCTAAAGGTTCTCAAATTGCTCCTTACATCCTTATCTATCACAGACTAGTAAGGCACCCTAATCCTCACCCATTACAGGCTACAAGCGAAAAAGATTCAATTTGAGTGGGAGTATTTCGTTAGCCACTACGGAGGTATTAGACATCACGAAAGCAATAGGTACTTTACTCCTTCCTAGAGGGACGGAGCTCGGATGTAGAGCTCATGTTATGCACATGCATATGAATGACATAATTAACAAGGTAAATAAACATGAATGAATAATAACACATATATACAAAAAGATTCAATTTTGTTAGGCTTTTGGATAACACAAATTATTTACTGACCTGACTCTCGGAGTCTCCAATGGAGTCGCCAAGCTGTCATAACGTCTAGATCTGGGGATCCATCACTAGACATTGACTTAAGGAGTCGTCACTAATCTTTTTTATCTAGGTGCGATTGGCCACCTAAGAAATCTGTTCTTTCAGGGAACACTTAAGTTTAAGGGTCCCTAAAAGAATAGGTTCAGGTCTACTAACCAGAATAGGGTTCGAGATTTCGGTTACGTGTGAGGAAGGTTATAGCACCCTCACAATGCCCATCAAAAGATGGTACCAGCTTAAATTTGTGTTATCCAATGAGCCTTAAAATTTTACCAAGTAATTAATTATTGAAAATTATTCTCAATTGACTCTAATACTTTTAGCAGAAAATTGAAAAAATTCTCTCACCTTAGAAGTATGCAAGAAAACTACTGTTTCACTTGCAGAAGCTTCATCGTCAGATTATTTAACATTAAAAAAATTTAAAAAAATAAAAAAGAGAAAAAAATGATTTTTTTTGTACAAGGAAAAATTGATACTTTCAACTTTTCCCCAAAATATTTTTTTTAAAAATTTTAATCTTGAGAAAAATTGATACTTTCAACTTTTTCTCAAAAAAAAAAACCCTTTTTGTTTTGAAATTTTATCTTTAAGGAAAATTGATACTTTCAACTTTTCCTCAAAAAAAAAAATTATTCTTAAGGAAAATTGATACTTTCAACTTTTCCCTAAAAATATATTTTTTTTGAAAATTTTAATTTCGAAAAAAATTGATACTTTCCTAAAAAATTGATACTTTCAACTTTTTGTCAAAAAAACTTTTTTTGAAAATTTATTCTTAAGAAAAATTGATACTTTCAACTTTTCCTCAAAAATGTTTTTTTTTGTTTTTTTTTTTAATTTTATTTAAAGAAAATGAAATAAATAAAAATAAAATAAAAAATAAAAAATAAATAAAATGAAAATAAATAAAAAATAAAAAAAATATTAACAACCCTAAATAATAATAAAATAAATAAATAAATAAATAAAAATAGTAAAAAGAAAACGAAAAAAAAAAAACCTGGAGCAGCTCGGCTTGAAGCTCGGTTCGGATCGGCTTGAGGAAGAAAAATGGCTCGGAGAAACGGCTCAGGGGTGTCGGCTCGGCACGGCTAACGACTTGAAGAAGCAAGACACACGCGGGTCGAAAGCGGGTCGACACTCGAGTTGGGTCGAATCTCGGTAAAACGCGCGGATCTTCCGGGTTACTTAACGCAAAAACGACATCGTTTTGGGAGGGTATATAAGGCTTATTCCTTTGTTTTTTCAGTAGATCGAGCCTCCTCCCTCTCTCTCTTCCTTCCTCTTCTCCTCCTTCTCTCTAAACTTTCTAAAGAACTCCAGTTGAATATTCACCGGATTTTGAAAAATTCATCGGAATCTGAGTTTTTCACTGAAAGTTCATCGAAAAATTGATCGATTTCTGAGAATCTTCACCCAAAACGGGGCAGCTGACTGGAAACTTCAATCTTGACCAGAATTGTCATTGAAAAATTCAACTTTCGTCGAAAAATTCAACCGGAATCTGGAAATTTTTTAGAAATTTTCAGAAAAAATTCACAGAAAAATCTTCAAAAAATTCCCAACGATTCCTAAAACTATTCTAACGCCTCTAAACCTTTTTCCAGCTTTCGAATATCTTCTATCTGCCTTTTTCTCTCAACCAGTACTCTTTTCCTTCTGTTTTTCTGTGTGTTTCCTTTGATTCTGAGGGTCCTTTTATAGGGATTGATCAGAAGAGTTTCTGATCAATCCCAACTCCTCTTTGGATCGGGATTCAATCATTGAATCCAACATGGACTCTTCTGATTGAATCCCAATCCAATCTTCAGTTAAATAAATCAAAAAAATAAAAAAAATCAAATAAAAATATTAATGAAAATAAATCAGATAAATTAAAATTAAATAATAGATAAATTATAACATATAATCTGATAAATATACATATAAATATTAATAGAAAAAAAATAAGGATATATATATTAAGAAATACATAAGATATAAATAAAAGAAAAATATATATAAAAACAATAATAATAATAAAAATAAAAATGTAAAATACAAAAAAAAAAGACTTACCTATTTGGACCAGGCCTAATTGATCTGGGCTTGGACCAAATTGGATGTCTACAGTATTTTGTATTTTAGAGTACCCTTTACTTCAATTTATTTCAATTTCTACTATAAAATTTATAGTGTTACCTGCGTATAGGTTACTACAAAATTCCCATGATTTAAAGCCAATAACACAATTAAGCACCCATATTTTCTTACTCTTTTAGTTAAATTCAGGTTGGTGCTGTCTTTCATGTGTTTTCTTCTTCGAATATGTAGAACCCTTCAAATGAACATAATAATTTAGAGATTCTCAATTGTCATAAATTGAATGCTGGTGATCTTGGATCATAGTGCTTTGTACCATCATTTGTTTTTAAGATCGATTGGATCCCACTTGTTGAGAGTTATATATATTGTCCTTAGAGCTACCTTTTTTGGTGCATTTAAGAGATGTGCCAATGTTACATATTTATGTTTCGAAGAATTGAAAGTTTTTGTCTTCTTGTTGCTGGGACATTTCCTTAATTTGTTGCTGTGAACTTTCAAGATCCTAGCTATGGATTGTCACTTTCTTTCAAATGAGTATACAATTCTGTCGGAAGTGATCAGAGAGCTTCACCTTTAGCAAAATTGAAAGCTCAAAGAATGTATTTGATGATCAACACTCTATAACAAGTTTCTTGAATTGATATGTGTAGTTTGACATAACTGTTACTTTAAAAGTTCTTTGAAAATGGAATCGAGTTGATGTTTCTAGGCTAAATTCTTGACATAGCTTCTTTAATACTTTGGTAAGTGTAGCACTTCCACGGCATGCGTAAAAATTTAGCTTCAGCTGCTTTTACCTATTGGAGGAGATTGGTGAGTATTAGCCATTTGAGAGAAAACTTTCCTCCAGTTGGATCTTGCAAAATGTGTTGTTATCTGCCTCAAAGGCTCAGAGGTTTCACTTCAGAAAATAAGTTTACCAAAGAAGCCTATTATGCATATTCAAGCTCATGAAAATGGAGATTACCCTGCTTTCTGAGACAATATCAACTCCATTCTTAGCTTGTTGAATTTTCTGCACCATGCATAAGAGGGCAGACCGAGCATCGCCTTCTTCATACACACTAGTTAAGTAGTTGTGCATTTCTATCATTTTCTGCAATACTCGAACACATAAAAAGATATGGTAGATTGATTGATTGATATTTCTTCAGAGAAATAGAACAATTTAGGTAAAGATTTTCATCCATGACTCCTTTAAACCATTCGAAGGAGTCTTGTTCCCTAATTACCCAACAAAAATATGCCCTTTCAGGATACTTTTAGGAGCCTTCACACAGCCACACGAATTTTCCTTTTCTAGGCGTTCCTGTATTTATCAAAAATTTTCTAATGGTAAAGTGAACATCAAATTTTGCAAGGATTTCAACAGATTGAAATCTGATTTTCCAAACTCACAGCTGGCTTGTTGGGGCTTAGCAGATCTTTTATGATGCTGATAAATGGAGTTGCCCCAATGCCCAGACCAACAAGAAAGAGAATGTCATACTTCTTATAGTTTTGAGCTGGTGCTCCATATGGCCATTTAATGAAGATACTTGGAAATCTGCCAAGAAATGGAAGCTATGTTATATACCTGGTGAAGCCATGTAAAACAACCTTGAACCAACAGCTGACTCACCTAGCTTGATCCTGTTCATAGTCTTTACTTGAGACTAATTTTTTAATTGCTCTCTAGTTTCCATTCTCATTAAATTTCCTCCTTTTGGTTCCACAGTGGGATGTTCACAAACTTGCATTAAATTGCCTCTAATTTTCTGTAACATCAATGCAAAATTAATGGGAATGGATGCAGCAATGACTAAGATTATATGTTTATTACCTTTTGAAATCTATCTTTTAGTTCTGTAATCCAGTCCCCAGGGTCCGAATGTGTACGCTCAAGTAGTCATCTTTTGGTGCCCATGTGATGAAGAAGGGGTGCCTGTAAACATAGATATATCTGAGGCATGGATAACGTTTTCTGACAAATATAAGATACAATAACATCTGATACATTTACCAGTCAAATTTAAATATATCTGGACACTTGACAAACAGATACATTCCACTTTTGTACTTGAATCCTGGAGGCTTGGTCACATGTAGAGCTAGAACATTTCCTGTATATATCACAGCCTGAAAAGTGATTAAATTAACCCTGGATTTCGAGACTGATTGCAAGAGAGATGAAAGGGAGGAGAATTGCATGCATACCTTAATGACATTCATGATATGCTTGTGTTCCTGGAACCTGGTAAGGAATCTCTTGCTCGAATAGAATAACATTGGAATCAGGAGATACATCCATGTCTGCAGAGGAAGACACGGTACCATTAGTTTTTGATAAATGTTCTTCAAGAATGATTCTGAATTAATTAATGGAACATACTGTCTTCAGGTAGCAGGGCTTTTCGAAGATGAGTAAGTAACTATGCATGATCATTTGGACATTGACCAAGGTCAGCAAATGATGTGCATACCAGAAGGCATTGAACCTGGCCAACATGGTAAATGGCCATGGTAACTTAAAACAAAAACAACATGGTAAATGGCCAAGCCAAACAGGACCTACTAAAAACAAAAATCATAGAGTACCTGGCAATGGCATGTAAAACTTGTCTGTGCAATAGAGCCTCAACATAATAAGGAAAAGAAGGAAACAGGAAAGAAACATTCACATATAAAAACACTCCAAACCCTTCAAAATAATATGCAGAGTCAAATAGGATAAGTAATATAATCAAAATTTCAATTTTCCAGAATGAATTTTCTCTTATGAAAAATGAAAAATAATAATATTTGTATCGATTATTTTACAATTTTCATGTAACTTTTTGTGGCATTGGTTTGCTTTTATTTGAAAAAATAAAAAATTAAAATTAAAATAACAATTTATTGAAAGAAAAAAAATTAGGAAACCAAATTTGATTTGAAAAAAGTTTTCGTTTATGACAAATATATGCAACTCTAAAACAATGAAAAAAAGGGAAAAAGATGAAAAACGAAAGAGATTAAAACGACGTCGAATGGCCAATAGAGCCTAAAGAGGGACAGATCCAACGGCCGGAATTTTCCTAAATCATGGGCACTTCGCACTCCCTTCTGGCTTCCTCTCGCTCTTTCTCTTTCGCTCGAACTCAACTCACTGAGTTGAGTCGAGTAACCCCCTTTCTCTCTCTTTCCTCTCCCTCTTTCACCAAACCCTTAAGTTTCTTTCCACTTTCTTTCCTCTACCTCCTTGCCCCCCGCCCCTCTGGCCTTTTTCGTCTTTTCCCCTCCAATCTCCATCCGACGGCTCCCATCCTTACACGTCACCACCGTCTTCTTCACTCCCTTCCCCCATCTCCTGCCGTATTTTATTTAACTCCCTTTAGGGTTTCCCACATTTTACCAAATTGTCAAATTTTTTACTCTCCTTATTTTTTCTTCAAATTAAAAAAAAAAAAGAAAAAAGAAGAAGAAATCTCCAAATCTTCAATTCCTTGACTGTCAGTTTCGCCGCAGATATTCTTCCTTTCCTCTCGAATGAGGTATATTTTTCTTCTCAATTTCGTTTTATTTCTTCAATTTAATTTCTTTTTTATTTGTTTTTATTCTGTTTGTAATTTCAAAATTTGAGGATTTATTTTATTTATTTGTTTCTGTTAGGGTTTTGATGAATTGGCTCTATTCGGAAGCGGTGAAAACAGTTTTTTGAAAATTTTGGTAGAATTTTGGGTTAGAATTGTTGTCTTTAGTTTGGTTGTTTTATGTTATGATGGCGATTGAGAAGAATAGCTTCAAAGTTTCACGGTTTGATGCGGAGTTTTCACCTGTTAGTAGAGAGATGACTATGTCAAGTGATGAGGATGAGCTTCAACATCGAAGCTCAGCCGTTGATTCTGATCATGAATTTGATGATGCTGATTCAGGAGCAGGTTCGGATGACTTTGATTTATTGGAATTAGGTGAAACCGGGGCTGAATTTTGCCAAGTTGGGAACTTGACTTGTTCTGTTCCTTTCGAGTTATATGATCTTCCTGGATTGGAAGATATTTTGTCTCTTGATGTGTGGAATGAGTGTTTAAGTGATGAAGAGAGGTTTAGCCTTGCTAAGTTTTTACCTGACATGGATCAGGACATATTTATGAGGACTTTGAATGACCTTCTTACAGGTAATAATTTTCATTTTACGAGTCCTATTAAGAAGTTGTTTGATATGTTGAAAGGAGGGTTGTGTGAGCCAAGAGTTGCACTTTATCGGGAGGGTTTGGATTTCTTTCAAAAGCGGCAGCATTACCATAATTTGAGGAAGCATCAGAATAATATGGTTGTCAATCTTTGTCAAATCAGGGATGCTTGGCTTAATTGTAGGGGATACAGTATTGAGGAGCTGCTTAGTGTTTTGAATATTATGAGAAGTCAAAAGAGTTTGATGTATGAAAAATTGGAAGATGATGATTCTGAATCCTCCGAAAGAGAGGATTTGGGTGATGGGTGGTGGAGCAAAAGGGTTAAGGAACGGAGTGCTTTGCAGAAAATGGGTGGTTACTCTGGCTATGGGGTTGATACGAATTTAGAATTCATTTCACGAGGACGGCCAATGACTTTGGAGCCACCAAAATATGGGAAGCAGAATCCAAAAGGTATACTTAAGACAGGTGGGTCAAAGTTTCCTTCTGCAAAAGAGTTTGACAGCCACTATTACTCTGGTTTGGATATGAATTCTAGGCCATATGGTTTGCCAAGAACTCTTCCTCGACAGAAATATGAGTCAGGGGCAGCACTCAGGGCAAGAGATCAAATGAGGTTAGATGATGATGCTGAAGATCCAATGTTTGGAATGGGTATTCAACGAGACCAAAATGTTGTGTGTAGCATCATGGGACAATCTGGTTCACTGAGAGCAGGGAAGAAGGATGACCTTTTAAGGGGGAAAAAATTAGCTGGTGATATTTTCATGGCTTTTCCTCTGTCTTCAAAGCATAATTTGCAGGTCTATGGGAGGAATAGGAATGTGAATCAGTTGTCCGATGCAAAAGTGTATATTTCAAAGCCACCTAACTTGAGAGCATCCTATGATATTGCCAAAAAGTCCAAGTATTCTGAAAACCATCAGCAATTTGCAGTTGGAGATCAGATAGAGTCTATGAATGGCCGAGCTCCACCACTGCCATTGAAAGGGAGTCGAGTTGACTTATCTGAACATGCTGAAATGTTTTGGCAAAATAAGAACCAAGGAGAATCAGTCAGATCTGATGATTGGAATATAAGGAGCAAGAAACGGAAAACGGGGCGAGAGTCTCCTGATCATAGTTTTAAATCATATAAAGCATCTTCACCACTGATGAGTGACCGATTCTTGCATTCTGACAGTAGAATGAAACCATCAGAGGAGAAGATCAGAGGGAACTATGTGCAAAATGGAGGACCAGTTCTGGCCGTTTCAAAAGGTAGTAGCATATTTTTTAAAAATGAAGAGACAGAATCTGACTCATCTGAGCAATTCAGTGATGATGAGGATAGCAATCCTCTAATGAGAAGCAAGTTAGCGTACCCCTGTGGTGTCGTAGAAGGTTCTCGGTTGTCTTCATTGAAGTCTGGCCTAGATTCTAAAAAGACCAAATCTTTGAAGAAAGATAGCATAGAGGATGGATGGCCTCTTGACGGAGTCACTCACTTCTCCAATAGGAGCTTTGCAGAAAATGTCCATGTGCCTGGAGTAGAAAGCTACTATTTGAAAGGAAAACAGAAGGGTAAGAAGCATGGAAACAGTCACTTGCGTAACTCTGCTTCTAGAGTTTTGGATGAGGTTGGGAAACGAGTTTACAAGTTGGACAAGAATGGCCTGTTACGAGGGGAACCTGGTGACAGGTTACAGATGTCTGCATCAAGGGCCTACCCTACTGAGAAAAGGCAGAAAGGTGAACTTGCCTGTGATCATTCTATGTCTCAGTTAAATTATCTGCATAATTATCTTGTTGATGAGGATGCTTCACCACTATCATTGGCAAATGAAAATAACCTAGGTAGAACTAGGAAGAAAGGCCAGAGCATTGAATCATATTATGACCGTGAAAAATCTGAAGCTTCATTTCTAGGGTGCAAAACAGTGACAAAGAAGAGGAAGGGGAAGAAATATGTGGCAGATGTTGATAGAAGAGGTGAAGGTGGTAACCTGCAGTCTAACCTTCGGCAGCAAACTGATGATTCCCCTATCTTGAAGAAAAAGGGAAAACAAAAAGCAGAGGTTGATGCTGATACGTCAGATATGGAAGCTTCTGAACCCCATGGTGCAGAAGTAGGAGCCACAGATATGGAGATGGAAATCAAACCACAGAAAAAGCCGTTTACTTTGATTACCCCTACAGTTCATACTGGTTTCGCATTCTCAATTATACATCTTCTTTCTGCAGTTCGCATGGCAATGATTACTCCACTTCCAGAAGATTCCTTAGAGGTTGGCAAACCTAGAGAGGTGCAGAATGGAAAACAGGAAGGTGCTGTGAATGGGGTTTTTTCTCATGACAATGCAGATATCAATAATCTGGACCATCCTATGCAAACAAGTGTGCCTTTTCTTACTGTTCATGAGATTGTTAATCGTGTGACAGTGAATCCTGGAGATCCATGTGTCCTTGAGACACAAGAGCCGCTTCAAGATTTAGTTCGGGGAGTTCTGAAAATTTTCTCATCAAAGACGGCACCTTTGGGAGCAAAAGGTTGGAAGGCACTTGTTGCCTATGAAAAGTCCACAAAAAGTTGGTCTTGGGTTGGTCCTGTTACGCATAGCTCAAATGATCATGAGACTATTGAGGAGGTGACATCACCTGAAGCCTGGGGTCTTCCTCACAAAATGCTTGTAAAGTTGGTTGATTCATTTGCAAATTGGCTAAAAAATGGTCAAGAGACGCTCAAACAAATAGGGAGTCTTCCTGCACCACCGCTTGAACTGATGCAAGTCAATTTAGATGAGAAAGAAAGGTTCAGAGACCTAAGAGCTCAGAAAAGCCTTAACACCATTGGCCCAAGTTCTGAAGAAGTGAGGGCTTATTTCCGTAGGGAGGAGCTTCTTAGGTATTCTATTCCTGACAGGGCGTTCTCTTACACAGCTGCTGATGGCAAAAAATCAATAGTTGCTCCCTTGAGAAGGTGTGGAGGTAAGCCAACTTCAAAGGCTCGAGACCATTTTATGCTGAAACGTGATCGGCCACCACATGTTACGATTCTTTGTCTTGTCAGAGATGCTGCTGCCAGATTGCCAGGAAGTATTGGCACCCGTGCAGATGTTTGTACTTTGTTAAGAGACTCTCAGTACATCGTTGAAGACGTTTCTGATACACAAGTTAACCAGGTTGTTAGTGGGGCCTTAGACCGATTGCATTATGAACGTGATCCTTGTGTACAATTTGATGGAGAGAGGAAATTGTGGGTTTATTTACATAAAGAAAGAGAAGAAGAAGATTTTGAGGATGATGGTACTTCTTCTACTAAGAAATGGAAGAGGCAGAAAAAAGATACAGCTGAGCAATCTGATCAAGGAGCTGTAACAGTTGCTTTTCACGGGACTGGGGATCAGTCGGGATTTGATTTGGACTCTGATCTTAATGTTGAACTTTTGTGCGTTGATGGTGAAAAAAAGATGGAGTCAGAGTGTTGTGATAGACAAAATGTGGAGGATAATGCTGACACTAGTCATGGATCCGAGTAAGGTAATACTCAGCAGGATCATCCAATGACATGGAAGCCTCTTGACCTAAATCCTGCACAAGAGAGCAAATTGCTAAGTGAAGAAAATTCCACTAATGAAGATTTTGATGATGGAACTTTTGGGAGAGAAAGACCAGTTGGACTCCTGAGTGCAAGCTTATTATGATCAATATTTCAGGTAGTTTCCCAAAGTTCTAAGAAATTTTATGGTGTTCAAACTTTTTTTTGTACTGTAGGCAAGTTTATAAATTTCTTTAACCAGATGATGCTGTTGTGAGTAATAACTTTTTATTGCCATTTTCATCTCTGTGATTTTGGTATAGTTACTATAAACATGTGTAATTATGCATTTAGTTGACACTTAGAAGGCTATTAGCCTTTTTCAATAACTTCCTCTGTCATGACAATGCTATTATGGTTTTTTTTTTTTCTTTTGGTTGATGCCTTGTTTTGTAGACAAAACAGCAGTAGGAAATTGTTTAAATCTACAAAGTGTGCAGATCACCATGTTTAATACCATAGTGAAGGATTATTTTAATTAGCCTGAAACTCTTTTATTTTAGCATCTTCAAAGAAAATAGATCTGGATGTTTGTTTTTTTTGTTTTTTTTTTTTTTGTGCTCACCACTGGCCCTGGTGGTTTCTGACGAAGTTAAAACACTGATATTTTTGCAGGTCGAAGTCCTTCTAGATAGAAGGCGAAGTTGTCATTCCGATTCAATTGTGTATGTGTTATACGGTGGAAGGTTACATGTATAGTGATTCTAGCACAAACAAAGTAGATTAGAAAGTGATCTCCTGAGGCCCAAGAATGAGTTTAGTACAGGTGGGATACTTCATGATTCTGCGTCCCATAAATATTTTTTGATTTCTTATTTTGATAATTTCAAATATAGTTTACATGTTCACTGAGCTGATAATACATGCAAATTCGGCTTTGTAATGTGCCACATAAATGCATTACCAACCCTTTCTGTGCATATGATTTCAACCATTACGTGCTTATGTTCATTAACTTCATAGCTGCTATTTTACATATCTTCTATGAGGTCAGGATGGTGGAACCCTATAACCAGTCTTTTGACACTTTCCTGCTTATGCCGTGATAGCTTTTGCTTTTAGTAAGTCCAAGAACAAAAGCTGCAAATAAAGAAAAACTGTCATATCTTAAGGATGATTTTTAAATGTACGAACCAATTGTGTTAAATTTGGGATTTGTCAACGAGGGCTAGCAAAAGTGGTAAGGGGGTGAATCCTTGGATAAATAATTTATAAGTCCGAAAAATTTGAAGATGAAAGTTTAATGAATTTGTAAATACAATTGTGGATAAATAATTGAATTGACGATTTGTCCTGGCCTTGAAAATAAGATAATCACCCATATTATTAAACTTTTATTTCCCAAAAAAAAAAATCGGATTTGAAAATATACAAATTTTGCTTTGAGAAAAAAAGATATTTTCTTTTAAAAAGTGACCAAATTTCTTTTTAAATTTATAAAACCCCCATTAACCACAAATTGGAACATGTAAAGACAGGTAAAAGCCAAAAAAAAAAAAAAATCTGGTTTAGTATATATTTGAGAATTTCTGCATCCAGTGGAAATTCTTTAAACAAGCAATTAATGAATACAAAAGACAGGAATGAGAGAGTTGATGTTCAGCCAGTATTCTGATTCTTCACACACCATTTCTATTTTTACTCTATTTTCCTTTCCCGTCACTTTTAGTTTATAGCAGTGAGAGGAACTCTGGAGTCTTTCAATGATTGGGCTACTGCTTCATGTACCGCCAAAAAGTGTTTTACATCTCCGTTCGCTAGTTTGGCAGATTTTGCTTCCCAAAATAAATTCAATAATTCCTCAAAAGGAGGAGTTTTTAGTTCCTCAATGGATGACACACTGGGAAGGTTGAATGTCCTCTTCCTTGGTGTAGAACAAGACGGCTTGTCCACCTGTGAGTTCAAAAGGGTTGATGATTTGTTAAAATCTCAGGCATTCAATAGTTGCTGATTTCTGTATGAGACACAAAAATAAAAGCACAAGTTACAGTCTTACCATGTATTCATCCTCGAGACATTTCCCCGCAATCTCTGTAATTTCTACAATCTTGTGGTAGTGATCGCCCTTCAGTTCCCTCAAATCTTCACAAGAAGGAAGGATCATGGAATTCATGTTCCCACAAGCATCATGGTCAAGTTGTAATGAATCTGCCAGTTTTTTGTTGATCAGTTTATTGCATATCTGATATTCATTTGTTATTGCGAATCTAGATACTTACGATCAATGGATGTTAGGCAACTGTTGTTTGCAGTGTCTATATCTTCAAGAGCAGTGGACACAGCAGAAGAAAATTGTTCACGGAGGATCTGATTGGCTTCCATCCCTCCCCTAATTGGATAAAGAGAAGAAGATCAGTGATCTAGATCTGAAAATTTCTAGAACACTTTTGAGGAAGTAGCATACCTAACAATGGAATCAACAGAATCGACATTTCTCTTTTCTACGCTGAGAAGGGATTCTTGAGCATTCCTCCATTGCTGAGCACTCATTTTTGCTTTCTTCAAACTGCAGAGGAATTGTGTAGAAGGCTCAGTGCATACTAAAAAACTAAAAAACAGAAAACTGATGCCAGGGAAAACAACCCATACCAGTTCTGAAGAACCTCTTCCATGTCTTTTTTTCCACTGTCTACAGCAGAAGTACCTTCAAGATAGTGGGATTCTGTGTTTTCCATGTGAATGTTCCATTCTGTTTTAACAACAGAAGTGGACTCTTGCATGGTAGACATTTCTTTCTGAAGTTCACTGGTTTTGCTGGATGCATTCTCCCGGAGATCATGAACTGCCATTTGGACCTAAAGGAAAAAAAAAGTGCAAGAATTTATTTCCAAATTCGTTATCAAGCACAGATTAAGAACACACAGGCCATGAGAATGTAAATAGATACCAGTTTTTTCTTCCTGGCACTTGAACCTGCAAGCAGCTCTGCCACCTTTTGCAGCAATTGCTTCTCTTCGTTAGCGGCACATTCCTACATGTGTAATAGAATTTATTAAATTTAACTGTAACAGACTTTAACAAAAGCAAATCTATCTGAATTAAGACAATAACCACCTCAAACTTCTTTTCAAATTCAGACAAATTGTTGTCATTTACTGTTTGTGCTTCTTCCATGATTTTAGTCAGCTTGGATGAATGCATGTCTAAAGTCTCAAAGAAATTCACTGTAATTTTAGAAATTGATCTTGCATTGTCTACTGCCCTGGAATGTGCCTGTATACGAAATAGAAAGAAGTGAGTCTACCATCAACACATTTCAATTACAGGTTAGCGAAGACACAAAGCAATAAATTACAAACCTCACGCTGTTGTTGTGCAAATGCAGTTAGCTTCTCCTCTTGCTTGCAAAGACTACTTTGAAGGTCATTAAGTAATGCATCAGCCTCGGAAGCAATTCCTTTGAAGAGCTGAACCATATAAATAACTTTATAAGCAGAAGAAGTAGAAAAAGAAGGTCCAGTTAAAAACTGGCTATTTGAATGCTGCTTACATCTTCCAGGTCATGTGAGTGCTTAGAAACTTCAGAAGATAGATCACCAAAAGTTGACTTGGAATTTCCATCAAGCTTCGTGGCTATATTATCCAAAGCTTTGATACCTGAACCGTAAGTATTCTTCAACTTCCCTAACCTTCCTCGAAGTTCTTCAGTAGCCTTCAGTTATAGAAAGGATAAGATATTAGAGACTATCAATCAAGTCCCAGAATATGTTCAAATGTGATGTTGAATCCATACCTCTGACTTGGTTGACACAAAGGACTGCATATCTTCCTCCATGTCTTTCAGTTGCTGCTCTTGTTGAGTCATAGAAGCTGCCGCAGTCTTATGCAAGATCTCAAGCTGATGGGTCAACTGGGACTGGAACTTTTGGATAAGTGCTCTGTTTCCATCCTCAATTTTATCCTTCCTTTCTGAAAACCAAACAGCATTCAGAAAAGAAACTATTACTTTTAGAGAAAAAACCATGTTAAAAGCAAAGTGCGCTCTGAAGGATACTAACCGATCTTGGCAGACAAATCTGAGACATCAGATGCGGCGTTTTCAAGCTCTGCTCGGAGTTCAAAAGCACGCTCAACAAGTGCTTTCTCTGAAAAATTAGCAATGGGCATATTTAATATCAGAAACATATTCCATAAACAGGCTTGAGTTCAAACTAGAGAAAATAAAACCAGAGAGATTTATATACATTATTTATTATCTGAAATGGGCATGTACATCTCATGAAACCTGACCTTGTAACGGATGAAAAAGTAACAAACAACCATTAATGGAGAAAATAAAAAGGAAATATGTCCAAAGCAGAAAAGGGTGCCAAAGTTCCTTCAACTCACCAGATTTAAGGAGACTAGATATTAAAAATTCCTTTTCTTTAATAGTTGCATTTGCTTGTCTATGTTTATCTTCAAGATCAAACAATGTATTTTCAGTTTCCTCCAGTTTTTTCTGAAAAAAAAAAAAAAAAGAGTTCAGTTCTGTCACAGTATAATACAAGAAAAGAGCTAATATGACATTTGTAAGTTGACCATCCAAAACTGTAATACCTCTGTCTTTTCAAGTTTCTCACTTAAATCTGCGGTCAACAGTTGCTGTGAATTGTACTGTTCCTGAAGCTCTGTAATTTGCTGCACAAAAGTAAAGAAAGAATAATTTGCTTGACCACTAAATGCTAATCAGAGAGAGCTAAAGGTTGAGATTTTGATGAAATGTACTTTCTCCTTAGATTCTGACTCAAGTTCCATGCGCTCTATTTTTTCAGCCATAGCCTGAAGTAAAAGTTAATACTTATTAGTAATACCAATAAATTCAATCCACCAAGAAACTTGGGACAAATAATTCTACCATTCAATCATATGGTTAGAATCCAACCTTCTTCTCTGCTTCTTCATGGAGATAACGATCTCGTGGAATATAAATTCCATTTTTTTCTCTTGCAGCGTACACCTCTAATTAAGCATAGAAAAAGGAAGCAAAAAGAATCACATATAAGAACCAATCCATGAGGTAATTAAGTTTTCTTGCCAAACAATTGAGGGAATAGTCAACTACCTTGCTTCAGCCGATCAATTTCAGAATATAAATCTTTTATTAAAGCAGATTTCATCATCTTCTGGTTAATCTGTAATAGTAATAAATTCAAATTATTTCAGCATGTTGCAAAGAGAAAAAATAATTCAACTTTGTATACTTGAGAAATGGGACATAATTCGGCGCCATAATGTGAGAGAATTTAGCAATAAAAAGCTCAAAAAGCTGATCCTGATAACTAATCCACTGACCTCTGGTTTGTTCTTGATATTCTTGGCACGATGTGCATAATCTAGAGTGCTGAGTGTTTCTTCCAGACAATGGATAGATGGTGATATTGTGGCAATTATACATGTTTTTGTTTTCCCTCCCAAGGAATCCCTCAACAGCCTTGTTAGTTTGCTATCTCTGCCATTTGCAAATTTATATTATATAAACCTTATCCCAGACACAAACAAGATGCTAATGAGAAATTTTCCTCTGTTAATTCATACCTATATGGAACATGACCCGAGTGCTCAACGAGAGCATTGATAACACGACCAAGAGTGAGCAAGCTTTTATTAATCTCTCCAGCTTCCCTTGCTCTGCCCTGTAATAGTCAATTTACTTGGGATCAATACTTAAAAGGTTCAAATATCCTAACATGGACAGCATCAAATCAGTCTTTTAAGAAGAGTGAAACATTGGGAACGTTTTCATTTGACTGTTGCATAAGACTCATAGCATGGACATCCACTCTTCAGCCTTCCCTCATATTTGCTAAAGAAATTATACACTCAGGGTGGTGATGCAATACCTCTCTTGCACCTGAACGTGAAATATTCTCAGAACCAGCAAGGTCAACAAGATTTAGCTTTCCGCATTTAATCATCTCTTCCCCCTCTGGAGTACACTCCTTAATGTGGATTGTAATAGAAAATATGGAATGAGAACGACTACTTTGTTTGTTAAGTAGAGTCTCAGCAGTACGCCTTTTAGCAGAACCTTTTTCCAAGATTTTGTAAATTTCATTAGCAGTTGTTACTATCTCTTCCTCCAAGCCTCTGACGAAAACTCCTCCTTTTCCATCTTCCATAAGAGCAATGGGTTTCTTAGATTTATCATCAACGAACTTCATAGTTTCCTCTGATGCCAAAAGATCTGTTATTTCCTCATTGTAAAGCTCTAGAAACGTAACTTTCATACTATATTCAGCATTCTGAGCTTCTAAAATATAAAAAATTTGTTTAACGGCTCTTGGGATAACCCCAGCATCAC